GAGGCCTGGTTTTGACCTGACATATCCCATGGCACTGTCATTGGATGCAGAGGGGTGCACATCAGAATTTGGCCCTGGTACACTAGGTAAAAACTAAGCACGAAAGGATGGGACATTGTGGAAGATACACACAGGAATATTTCATGTCAGGTTCATTCATTAATATAGCAAGATATTTAGAGACCAAGCAGTTGGATTGCTAGATCTAGCTACGGTGCTCATCCGGCCCCATCACTGTAGCACAATCTGTAATGTATTTACCTTTGCACACACAGGAGATATAGCAGTGCTATTATCCCCATTGTATAGATGGGGAAACTGAAGCACAAAGCAATTAAGTGACTTGGCCAAGGTCACGTAATGGATATGTAGCAGAGAAAGGAATTGAAGCCAGTTCTCCAGAGTCCCAGACTAATGGCTTAACCACTAGATCACCCAAGAGGGGAGATGGGTGGAAGAGCTGCTATTTGCAGCAACATCTCACCAAACTGGTGCAAATTACAGCTGATCAAGTCTGTTAACTTGTGTGGGCTCCCTCTGTGTACTCCACACCACCTCCTATGGGGATGCTCCGGGGGCAGAGGAGTCACTGCAGCTGAGCTCTGCTGCCAAAAAACCACTGAGTGAGGCCGAGAGGGACAAGGGGCCAGTCCCCTTTACAGAGGCACTTGGGCACCACAAAGAAAGATCTCCCTGCGTGTGGGGGGCGGCAAGCTCCGGGGGGAGGAGCAATGCTCTTAGCCCACTCCAGGAGCTCCCCAGTGCCTGCAGAGAGGAGCACATGGCCCTGAGTTTTTATATGCTAGAAAAGAAATTCCCTGGGATGGACGTTACAGCTGATCAGGTTGCCAAATCTATGTTTCAAAAAGCTGCTACATGCAAATATCTTGCCCAGCCCTGCATTCCTGACAGCAGAACTCCCGTGAACACCCATAACACATTATAATGACCTCCGGGCCAACTGTGTCCCACTCCCTTTCCTTCTCTGTCAGAAGAAACCCATCCAGCTAAGCCTAAATTTCATTGGTAATTAAAAAGTGGAGACCACAATATATCCAAAAGGGGGGATTGGCAGCTCAACTGGCGATTTGTGTCAAATACACTCCGCACATAAAGCACTGGACAAAAGAAGATTTTCTTTTGAAGAAAAGTGGGACAAACTACACCTCGCATGAGTGAAATCCACCTGCATGCACATAACTCATCAACCAAAGGACCAGCGAACACTGAGGATGTGACACAAAGCCAACAAAAAACTCAGCATCCAAACGGAGAGCTCCTTAGTGAGCCGCCTTGTGGTAAGCAGGAGGTGCCAGCCCAGGGTGGAGCCTGGGCACAAGGTGGACGTTGAGGACAAAGAGGAGGGATAAAGATGCAGTCTGCCTGATAAACCTGAACATCAATCCTAGCGGTCGTGGCGTAAATATCCATACCCAACTTGCCCATAGACAAGGAAAGGACATAGCGCATCAGAGCAACGGTCCATCTAGGGTAGTATTTTGTCTCCAACCATGGCCAGAACCAGATGCTTCAAAGAAAGGTGCAAGAAACTGCCCTACAGACAATTATGCAATAGCGTTCTCCTGTAGTAAGTTTCTTCCCCATCCACTGGCAGTTGGCTTATGCCCCTTATACATTTGCTTAAAGCGAGGAAGTCACCTTTGGTTATGGTCACTGATTATTGTCACCACCATGCACTGCAGGGTAGCGTTTCCCCGACGGCTTGATGGAATGGGGCAGAATCCGTTTCATATTATCATCCAAACCCTGCACAAAGAGCCAGGCTGGTCTCCGTTACACCTGCGTACATTGGGAACAAAGTCAACCCCTTGTGTGATCAGAATCCAAATGTTGCCCAGTGGCTTGAAGGCTGAGATTACCTCGGATGCTATTAATTTCTCACTGAAGCCAAGGAGAGTTTTGTCGTCAGCATCAAGAGCGTGCCTAGGACCGGTAAGGTACTTGCATAGAAACAAAACAAAACAAATTCCCTCTGTACCAGCAAGTGAGTCCTTCCATTGGTTTCAATGGGCATCAGACCAAGCCCCACATGAGCGATGCAGTTTGAAATAAGATGCAGAGCACCCAAGCCAGTCTAGAAAAATGGGCTTGGGATTGTTTCTTATACAGGGCAGTGAGAGTGCTGTCAAATTCCCTTTCCCTACTGTTTGCCCATCCAATGTAATTTGAAATCCACCTTAAGCCTCTTTGGGAAACACCTGCTCTGCTCCATCAGCCCAACGACCCACCGTTGACGTGGCTGCAGCAATTTTCTGAGTTAATTTACAGCAGCCAGGCCGCATTAGCGGCAATAACTGCGGAGACTGGTTTCACCAAAATTGTGAGTTATGATTTTTCAAATAAATACCTTTTCCTATAAACCAGCACTCTGTTTAGTTTGAATGTTCCCCGCAGCCACATCCATCTACATAAAATACACACCAGAGGAAGCGGAGCTGTGACATTGCTCTGATGACATAAAAACTTCTGTAAACACATTGTCATTTACAGTATTAGTAAAAGGGGGAGGGAAATAACCGTGAGCCGCCAGGCCTGTCCCTCCTGGAGCCCATGGAAAATTTAATATTCTTTTTCCATAAAGCTTTGTTTGCGTTTTGATTTATCCAGGCCGTTAAGAGAGGGCAGTGGTTGGTTTCCCATAAATAGATTGTAGTTCTTTACAGACCAATGTTGCCCTCAGCGTTTATGCAGCTTTTTGAGAAGTGTATACAGAGGAGACGCCATAGATCTGTCTGACAAAACAGCAAAGGGTCAGGGCTTAGCATCCTCCGACCACCAAGAGAATTGCCAACAAATCAGAGCTGGCCAAATCATCTGCCACCTGCTTTCAAATGATCCTTCTCCCCTGCACTGGAATTTACTCCAGAATTTCTCTCCTGTCCTTTGGTGCAGCTCTGATCACTCAAGATCTGACCCAAAGCTCATGACACCAATGGGAAAACTCTCAAAGCCCATTGATGTGAATGGATCAGAGCCTCTTTCTCCCACCAGCACTTGCATTCAGGTAGTACCTCACTCCACAGGGAGTCTCACTGGTTTCACTCTTGGGCACATACATCAGATAAGCCGACTCATCCTGATTTCAGTGGGGCTAACTTGCTGAGGAAGATGCCAGTCAGCATTAGAGCAGCAGAATGAGGTTCTTCGGTGGCTGTGGTTGTGGGACTCTCTAGCTTTGGGATAGTTTTTTGTTTGTTTTTAGTTTTATTTGGGGAGGGAGGGGGAGTAATCCGGTGCTGAAGGACTGCATATCCAGAGGGTGAAGCGCAGCTACATGATGTTAAAAGTGCGAAGAGTAACACAATTATGCTCATACAAGGCAGCTGTGGAAAATTCTTCTCCCTAGGGAAAGTGTATTTTGGCAATTGTCATTTATTTTGCTAATTATAAATAAAGTACTTTTTTTTATCAGGCGGACAGTGAGCGATCAGGTTTTGTGGCTAGGCTGGCAAAGGTCTATGCCAGTTTTCCATGGCCACCGTGTGTGTATACACACTCTCTCTCTCTTATATAATGCCACAGTCCTTTACCAAACAGAGGGATGGTTTCTTCCTGGCCACAAAGAGCTGACAATCCAAATAGCAATTATACTCTAGTGTATCTGTTATATCCTTGCAAGCTAATGGGAGGCAGAGACTACAGGCCTGAACAAAGGACTACAAGTGGGGTGGGGAGCTCGAGTCAGCATTGATTTGCACCCTTTGTAGGTTGGTGTCTTTCCCTTGACTTCAGTGGAGTCACTCCTGATTTACACCGGGTTAGGCATGTAACGGTGAGGAGGGTTGATCCCATTTCTTTGATCGAGCCCCTCCTAGAGGTGGGTGGGTGATGGTTCCTCACTTCACTGGCCATTTTGAAAAATTCAAGATAAATATTTCAGGTTCACCAAAATATTTCATTTGGATTTTGAGCGTTTTAAAATGTTTGCCAGTAAAACAAAATAAAATCAAAGGCAATTTCAAAATGAAAAGTCATTTTGGACCAAACGAATCAGAATAGATTTCACTTTTTTTCAGATGTTTTAAATCCTCCCCCCCGCCACTCCCCTCCCCATCAACAATTCGGACACATCTGTACCAATGAGAGAAAAGATTCCCAGTCACCACAGCTGCGGGTTTTTTTTGGCTGAAAAAACAAGGTTCAGTTGAAATGTTTCACCCAGCTCCAGCCACACCAGATATCCACCAATGGGAGGGTGAGGGAGGTCAGAGTCCAAACCGCTTCCCTTCTTCTCCTGCCTTTGGCATTGACTCCCTCGGTGCCTCAGTTTCCCCACCAGTAAACTAGGGCAATAAACCAACCTTCCCGGGGGCATAGTGTTTGGGAGGGCCTCAGTGATTATTAGTATTGTTCCCTTATTTGCTCTGTGGGCTATAAATACCTAGGGACCCCCTTAGGACAGCATAGCTGTACGGGAGACAATTGTACAGAGCGGGGATGCAGGATTCCTAGAGTGGAAAGCCAGCAGACCAGCAGCCCTCGGGGACAAGCCGTGCCAAGGGGCTGGGGGCAGGGGCTGGCAGCATGCAAGGTCTGCGGAGCCAGTAAGGAACGGGTGGGAGCAGCATCTGTGCCCGGACAGAGCTCAGTGTCCCGGCCTGATCTTGCGCACACCCCCCTTTTGCCCTCCCCCTGCTTCGGATAGACATTATTTATACCTAGGAAAATATTCAAGGGCTTCGCCCATTCCTCATGCTGGAGGGGCCTGATTTATGGGATGTTACAGGGAGACAGTCATACACAAGACAGGGGGAATATTTTACGGGGCTCCAATGTAAACAGCGCTGGAGCAGAGCCCCTTTTTATGGAGTCCCTGTACTGACATGGAATCTGACAAGGGCCTGATTTACAGCCCTATTTAGATAAGGGAGCCCGGGGCCGGGCTAGCGAATGGCGTCAAGGTCACAGGACGCACCAGGATAATGTTTCGCTGGGCCGCAGATAAGGCGATCCTGTCTACACCGCCCAAGAATGCAGCAGCCCGGGTGCACTGGGGTGGGCAGGGCCCAGGAGCCGGGGGCTGCACAGGTGATGGGAGCCCAGCCTTGGGGGCAGCTGGCAAGACACTCCTTCTGGGGGGGGATGGGAAGGGGTCTCCATCCCCCTTCAGAGAATGCCCACCCAGGCAGCTGGCAAGCTGGGGGGAGCGTGAGCCTACCCAGACCCCCCCAGAACAATGGGCTCGGATCCGTACCCCCCAACACCAGGGAAGGCAGCAGGGAGATGGGTTGGTGCATGTGTGTTGCCTGTGGCCCTGTGTATGTTGCCTGTGTGCCTAGGTTTACTCTCGGTGTGTGTGGTTAGCTGTCTGCGTGCGCTTGTTGTGTGCGTGTATTTGTTTTCCCTGTTGTGTGTGTCCCTATAGATCCACAAACACACCCGTGCCACAAAGCGGGCACCGTGGCAGGCTGGCTTTCATCCGATGAGCCAAGTTCTTTCCGGATAAATAAACCTGGGAGTGGAGACTCCCTCCCGCAATTGTGACAACCACCACAACGCAACAACAAGCCCACTCCGCGGCAGTGGCGTTCGGGCTACCCACGCGGCGAGCTGGCACGCGAGGGGCGCAGGGGACTCGCGCGCAGCCCTCGCCCCTTAGGTTTACACAGACACACCACACTGACCTGCTCACAGGTGAGGAGCGGGCGCTAAGCGGACTGGGTTTGCAGAAAGCAGGTGTAGACGCGTGGTTCCTCCCGGAGATCGGACCCATAATCCCCCTAGTCCGAAACCTGGGGTGTTTTCACAACCCTGTGAGTAGAAGTGACATTAAAGAAACTCGGGGAAAGTTTGAAAAGTGCTAAATTTAGACTGGTCACAAACGCAATCTGGTTGAATGTAAACGGTGTTGGAGTGGCAAGACCCCCCCTTTTCACTTGATTAGAACAAGGAGGGTTAGAAGGATTTTCCAAAGGAAAATCAACCCGCGGGTCTCGATATTTATTCAGCTGATCGCCTCCAAATTCACAAGTTACAGTAAGTTTCTTTCTTTCTTTTCTTTTCCTTCCTTCTTCTTCTTCTTTTTTAAATCGTTGGTTAAAAATAAAGCCAGAAAACTCTGGGCTAACGCGTGATCTTTGGTGGAAAATTACTCCGCTCTGGGGCTGACTGGTTTAGCTGTATTTTCTATGAAGATATAGCCTCGCCTCCAAAGCACACCCACCGCCCTCGGCTCCCCGCAGCAGCCCAGAGCCGGGAAGTGGCGACCAAGCCGGGGTGCAGCCGAAGGCTAAAAAGATGAACGTGGTTTTTTTTTATGGAATATTTTCTAGGGTTGGGGATTTTCTAATGCCTTTTGGACGGCCCAAGTCCTGGCACCGTGGCTCGTATAAATCAGAGCTTTCCAGGGTAAGGAAAAGGTTTAGCAGCCAACCCAGTCCAGCCTATTAAAGGGATAATAGAATCAAATGCGGAGGTTGCAACCGTATATTTTTATCTGATGCAGGAAAAGGCCAGGATGAAATGTCGCTCCCCGTCTCCCCCCCCCCCCACACCAGCTGTGAAGTTCGGGGCATTCCAGAGCTCTTCAAACTACCACGGATGCCTGGCAACCAACTGACAGTCGAGGTGGAATGTCTCAAGCATCCGAGCTGAGACCAATGGGGACTGCTCCGAATCGAGCCAGGGCCTGTGGCACGGCGGGGGTTAATGAAATGCCCCTGTACACGCTTCCCTTCAACCCCCAGGTTTCATAAACCCTTTCGCCCAACTCGCCTACTCCCTTATCAATGAGATTCCTTCGGCACAGCCTCGCTGTTAGGTCTGGGTGGGTCCAACCTCTGATTAGATAAATGAACCTGATATTTCTCTTCTGATTCAGGGGAAGGGCAGCGCGGATGGGAGCTAAATGATGCCCAAAACAGGAGGGTTCACTCTCCATACTTTGGGCGAGGAAAAATATGACCAGACTCAGGATAAAGAGCGCGTCTTCGGAAGTGCAAGGAGACTGACTCGCCCCCCTCCCCCAAAAAAGCAGAGAGGGGTCCCATGGGTGGCTGGGAATTGATATAGGGCGCAGATCGTTATTCAGAGGATCTGCTTAAATCCCACTCGCGATTAAATCCCTCTCTCACAGGGCAGCAGCCGCAGGTACAGAGAAACAGCCGCACACCCGCGCTGTGTGTGACCCTGGTATATACACAACGCGGGTAGCGAGCAAAGAAAAGCGCTTCTGGGACCTCTCTCCTCCGTGGCCAGATACAACGCGGGGCATTAAAGCCTTTGCTACTGTACGGAGCGAGGTCCGGAGCGAGCCCAGCTGAGTTGACAGAGCTTTGCAAAGGGGTGAGGGCGACAGACCAGCCCGCGGGTGTCAAAGGCAAAGCCAGGCCCTGGTTACCTTGGGCGTGGGTATCAAATATTCGTAGCCCAGGCGCGCTGCTTGGCAGGCTGGCTTTTGGCGAGGCGCGTTGGGGGAGAGTCCAGGAGCGAAGCCAGGCTGCGGGGAAGGGGCGGCTGTGCCTACCCGCTTTGAGAGGCAGGTCGGAGACGGGACCCTGGGGCCATCAGCCCAGAAATGGCCTTGGACCTGAAGCCATAGCTCCGATTAGAAAATCGTTGGATTGAAACCACCGGCTTCACCTGGGGGGAGGGGAGGCTGACAAGTATTTGTTAGGAAAAGTCTTCTCATGAGAAAGATTTCCCCTTCTAGTGGGAAACGGGAAGTGGGGGTGGGGGGACTAGGATACTCAGTATTTTCCACTGAACGCAGGGGTCTAATGCCGCCTAATTTAGATGACCAAATAATCAATAACAAATGTTTCCAGCGCACTCATTGAAGGGGGTTGTAAAAGGGGGAAAGTTTGCACCATATAAGAACAAAGCCACACACAAAAAGAGGGGAGGAGGGGATCCAGAAGTATAAGGCTAACCTGTTTCTTATGCCCCAGATATCAAAGGCAAGGATTCAGGGCTGGCAAGCCATCGCCAGGAGCTGTATTTTTAACCCCCCTAATGGCATTTGCGACATGGAAAATCAGAGTGGCCCAGATCCGACGTAGAGGAAGATTTAGCCCCGAGACTTACTGGCTTTTAAACTCGGATTGTAACAAATCGCTCTAGAAAATAGCAGGCGTTTAAATGGCTCCCGAATTCGCTGGAGACGACCCGGGAGCTGCGATTGAAATAAGTCAAATAAAATTTGTCATCTTTAAAATGTAAAAAGACATTAATGGTCTGTTAGGTCGGATGATTAATATAAGCGCCTGAAAACAACCCTAAAACATTTCCACCCTCAGCGAGAAGATTAATCATTGGAAAAGGTATTTAATCGTTAACATACCTCTCTGCCCAAACGCTGCAACAAAGCAGCGGGCTTGGCTGGCTTGGCAAACGAACGGTTTTTCCTCTCGCATAGGTCTGATTGCAAACACACACACACACACAAATGCAGCGCCCAGATGTGTGTGTTTAGATACACGTCGACACACAGCTAGACACAGTACATTGACGTGCGCACTCCCAGAACTATACACTGTGGAGGTTGCCAGAGAATGGAAGAACACCGCTATGGTTAGGAGACCGATATTAGATGGAATAGCACATCTCTTTGCTGCGTATTCGTTCGTTAAACTTTCTACGAGGTTTGGAAGGAGCAGAGCGCAATATACAGCAGAAGCCAATTAATTACCAATTACGGTTTTATTTTGCCCTTTGATTTCACAGCCGTTTCTGGAAGCCGCAAAGGATTTCGTTGTTTTGGTCTCATTTAGAACGGTGTAAATCCGGAGCAAGCCCCTTGCCTCCAGTTGGGTTACTCCGGATTTACACGGGGGTGTAGATGCAATCGGGATCTCGGAATAGGCATGTCTTGCTGTCCATTCCCTTTGCTCTCTGTGGATCCCCAGGTCCCTGGTTACCGCGGGACAGTACCCAGGGCCGTCCCCTTACAACAATATTTTCAGACCATGAACCCAGGGTGCCCATGGGGGCAACTCCTTAGCCACTGCACCCGACCGACCAGTTCCAACCCAGGCAAAGTTTCACGGGGTTGCCAATTGATGCCAATCGTGCCTTGGTCCAAGGAGCTCCACAGAGCCCCGGCATGTCGGGGGCTGTTTAGGGCTGACTAGTCCCAGGGCAGGGCGGATTCACCGCGCCCAGGGACCCGGGTGTGCTAGGCTGGGGCACAGGGACAGCCCGCACCTGAGGATGTGAGACCTGGGCAGGGCCTTGGCTTTCCCAGCCCATCTCGGAAAAGTGCAGCGCAAGGGGGATTGTGGGGCTTGAGGGGGAATATTTCAGGGCCCGATCCTGTGCTCTGACCCAAGAACCCCAATCCCATCGAGCTGCAGGATTTGGGCCCTCACCCCTCTTCAAACAGGCGG